AGACCATTGATGGTCTCAAAGGAAACAAATCCTCAAATTAACATGAGACAATCAGTGAATGAATGAGCTTCTGACCAGGTAACTTAAAGACCTTTGTGTACGCTTAAGGTCCACAGAAGGCGCCCTGGCCTCCCAATGGTTAAGCACAGGCTGGTTGTAGGCAACTCAAACCAACCAGTCACTCCAAGTGGCCTTCTGCTCTTGTAAAGATTACAATCTAGAAAACTCCATGGATAGCTCTACTCTGTCCCATAGGGTCCCAACAACAATGTCCATATCTCCCTTGACCCCAAGGTCACGAATTGCTCAGGTGAGCTAACAATGAAAGCCAGGAAACTCAGCAGTTCCCTCTGGCCAAGATCCACTGTGAAGTCCCTCATGACAAAATTGGATGGCTTCTTTCTCCCTATTAGAACTTTGGTTCAGAGATGCCTCAGTCTTATTTTGTTTTCTACATTTTATTTTGTTGTTGATGAAAATACATGCAGCAAAACATACACCAATTCAAGCTTCTACGTGCATAATTTAATGACGATTACATTTTAGTTGAGCAAGCATCCTCATTCTCCTTTTCTGAGTTGTTCTTCCCTCCCCTCGTTCACACAAATTCATCCTGCCCCCCTAATGTTGCTGTTATCAATTTGATCCCATACACATAGTTCTTAAGAAGAGCATAACCCTTAAGACGAATCTTTTTCACAAGGAAAGATAAACTACTGTTCAATTTTAAGAATTCAGGGAATATTTCTGGTTTAAGATGTAAAGTTTACTTTCAGTCAGTAAGTTTCAGGGGTTCATTTGCCTGCCATGACTCTAAAATGTCTAGTCTTTGAGGATTTGAAACTCTGTTCCACATGTTCCCCCTTTTGATCAGGATTTGTCTATGCGATCTTTGATCAACATGTTCAGTAATGGTAGCCATGTACCATCCAATTCTTCCAATCTCATGGCAGAGGAGGTAATTGTTCATGGAGGTGACTGGTCACACATTCCATGTCTTCCCTCCTCCTACTCCTGGACTTTTCTTCCTTTAGAGATTGATTGTTGTACCTTGGAAAGCCCCTTAGCCCTACTTTTAAGTTATTTTAGCATTTACTGTGTTGTAAACAGTCCTAGAGGAGTGGTGGACTAAGTTTGGGGCTGTTAACCTCAAGGTCAGTAGTTGAAACCGACTTTGCAGCTCCACAAGAGAGTTGAAGCTACCCACTCCCATAAAGATGTACAGTCTTAGAAACCCTATGGAGCAGCTTCACTCTGTCCTGTATAGAGAGTTGCCATGAGTCACTACGAACCCCAGGGCAGTGGGCTATGTTGCTGTTAGTTCTAACTCATGGAGACGATATATGAACTTCCCCACTGGGTTTGCAAAGCTGTGGCTTTTCAAAAGCAGATCACCAAGAACCTCTAGGTAGGTTAGTACTGCCAACCTTCTAGCTATTTGTGCCAAAACATAACTCCCCCCCACCTCCCCCCAGCAGGCTTCCTGAAATACTTCTTAAGGAATGGCTCGTTTGGGACACAGGTAGGCGAAAAGGCTCCTTCCTGATTCTATGACTTCTTCACATCCCAACCCACCGGGCACAGTGGCCTCCCACGATGGCCGATGGCCGATGAGAGCGCATCCTTCTGTGCCTCCCTGGCCAGGGACCCTCCTCAATCAGTCCTGCCTTCCAAGGCCCTGAGCTGGCCGAACCACACCCTTCTTGTTCTCCTGCTCAGCTTCTGAGATAGGACCAGGGATCAGCCACCTCTCTCCCCTTGCCTCCTTGCTGCCCACAATGGTGAGTCAGGCCCAGAAGCTTAGCAGAGCTATTTCTGGGCATTCTGTCCAGAAGGGGGGAAGGGGGCGGAAGGTAGTGGTGTTAGCAATCTGAGACAGTGGGTCCCACTCATTCCTCAAGTTTCTTTTACAACTTTGAACTCGGTATGCAAATTTATGCAAGACAAGATGCAAGCAGCCCTGGGAGCCAGCAGTCCCGTTGTGTTCCCTGCCCCCCCCTTTTTGGGGGGAGGGGGAGCTGCACAGAACCACTGTAAATCTGCCCCCCTTTCTTCTCCCCCAGCAACTGTAGATGCAAAGCTCGCTGACCCCCACACTCCCACCCCCGAAGGCCCGCCACTCTGGGACTTTGAATGACTGGACATTTCTATAGCACCTTTATATGTGCAGAGGGCTAGACAGCCGCTTGGGCGGCTCCGCCCCTCGGCATAATCCAGGGCATTGTGCTAGACCCAGGACGAGGCGGAGGAGATGAGGAGGGAAGCAGGCCAGCCTGGCCTGGGGCAAGCGAAATTCTGAAAGCCTGGCCCACTCTCCTCTCCTCCCAGGACATTTCTAGGCTCTTCTGCCCACGCCACCACAAAACACACCCACACACTTGAATGCAAGTCCAGTCCCTCCACTGACTTACGGCAGAGCTCATGGTCTGTTTCTCCCAGGGTCGCGTACCTGCCCCCACCCCTGTCCCCCAGACTTCTCAGTTTGAGCCAGCAAGTCCCAGCCCATCACCCACCCCATGGGATCCAGACTCTCCCCCCACCCCCTGATGTGTCCACCCCCACCGTGGCATCCCTGCCATCCCCAGGAAGCCAGCAACACAGCCCCTAGGGAGAGTCCTGGGAACAAAGACAAAAGATTTAGCGGTAGAGCCGGAACTGCTGGGGGGCGGGGG